AAAGAGACAAGATATTGTGGTTATCCACCATGGAATTAAAATGCATGGCATGTTGTTTGGCGGCCAAGGAGGTTGTATGGATTAAGAAGTTTTTCAATCAGCTGCAGTTTGAACCTCTAATGCTGTGCATGCATGAAAATCTTCTGTGACAACCAAGCCACAATATGTGTGGCTAAGGAGCCACGATTTCACAAAAGATCCAAGCACATAAAGCCCTGTTATTATCATCTTCGAAATGAGGTACAAAATGATGACATCGAGACCACATACATTCTCATAGAGGTAATGGTTGCAGACCCCCTTACAAAGGGATTAGTTGCAAATGTTTTTGTTAAACATGTACATGGGATGGGGCTGAGAGTGAGTGAGGAAGAGAGACTGTAAGGCCTTCAAAGGCCAAGTGGGAGATGTTCGGTTTTTGTGGCCATTTAAACGCCTTATGAGAGCATGTAACCAATTTTACTATAGTGGAACAATGAACTACAGTGAGAGTATGGCCTAGAGGGGCTGAAGCTGGCAATATTGATGCCGAGACTCAAACTAGGCTTGATGAGCTAGGCCAGTTGAAACTAAAAGCCTAAAATACCTGGGCATAGAGCACAATCGAGAAGGGTTAACAAGGCTACCCCTTGATGAGGTTGGCAATGCCCATGGTAGTTTCCTAAGGGACTGTGTGACTCTTGTGTATGATTAGTAGGCCTGAAGGGACCAAGGCCAAATTTTTATCATAGATCATGACACGACATATACATATGACAACCGTATCAAAAAGCAAAGAACCAGTGAGGGTGTTGTGTGTACATGTGCGAGAGATAGCCCCCATACACTAATTGCGATGTGTGTAAACAAGTCTGTGTGACCTAGGGGGAACCTGTAATTCATAGACTAAGATTGTGTTCTCTTCGCTTATTGGCTGACTTTGATAGCCCAATCATGAACCCTTGTGATAGACTGTGGTTCATGGGAACTACTAGCTTAGTTTGAGAAAGTGAGTGGTTTAGTCTCTAGTAGAAATGGTGTGCTTCAGTATTTTCGCATTTTTCTTAATATAGTTGGATACGAATCCCATTAAATTAATTTAGATATAATTAATTTGATTATCAATTATTTTGAGATTAAAAAAATAAATTTTTAAGAAGTCTCTGAATATTTTATTTTCTCAAAACTGATTTATAAATGGCATTAAACTGAATGTTTAGATATTTAATTATTTCGAGAGAAAATAAAATATTAATTGGTTTTAAAAAACATATTATTAATTTTAAAATAAGTAAGACACACGGGGGCCCATTATTCTCCATGGGCCCCACTAATTCAGAACATGTGGGGAAGTGTATGGGGCCCACTAGAGCCCCATGGGTGGCACGCCCCACATAGTGCACCTTCTTTCTTTTTTTTGTTGCATGCAAGTTGGCCACTCAATCAATTAAAATAAAATAAGGAAGGTTTTGCAATGAAAGATATTTTGACTTTTCAAAGAGGCATTTGTAGAGAATGAATGGAAATAAAAGAAAAGAGATTTGTATTTCCTGGTATTAAATATTTGATGGGATTAGGTTAAGAAAGTTGAAGGATAAGTTTCTAGCACCATCCATTAAATCATGATGGTTGATCTATGGATTGTAAGGCTAAGATCTTTCACCCCACAAGTCTCTTATGATCAATGGTCTAGGTCAAATCTCCATAAGGATGGCTAACCCTAGAAACCCTAACCCTAACCATGTGTCTATCTGTTGTCTCATTGTGGGGGGTTCCATGATACACCATAACACCTCTCTTTATCTCTCCTAAATGTCGCACACCATCCTCTCTCTCTCATCTCTCTCATCTCTATAGCCTCTCCAAAACACTTAGAAAATATTTTGAAAGAAAGAGGGGGTGTGCCCAACCACATTGTGAGCCTATGAGGGCATGCCCCATACACAGAGCTTGAGACATAGTTTTGTTCCACAAGCTCTCATATTGCATAAGGGTTTCTAGTCAAGGCTTCCCATAGTTGTGAGATCTAAGAAAAACCTTGATCCCATATGCCATCAGAGGAGGAAACCCTAGTGGGGTGTATCAAGTCCATTTGAGATAATCGTTTGGCACTTCAATTTTTTGTTATTGCAGTTTATGTTTCTTGTTCCCAAGTCATTGTTTATGTAATTTTCCTTATGCAATAAAGAGTTGTATTAAGTGACAGCAAGTGAGAATCCAATTTTTGTTCCTTCATTGTTCTTATGAGTTTATTTTGTAATCTTTGGACCTTTTAAGTGTTCTACGCAGTTGAGAAAAAGAAAAATTTTGAACTACATAAACCGTGCTAGTTCACCTTGTCCAACTTTCAGTGAGCTGGCGAGATGGAGACGGGATGGGCGAGAGAGTCCACTATGGAGTCACGCATGCCAAAGGGAGAACTATCTCAGAGGTAAATAGAGGCGAAGGGGAAGAAGGGCCATGAGGGGGATGAAGGGCCATTTGGGGTGGGGAGGGGGGAGGAGCAACCAAAAGCCCCATCTGTAGATTCGAAAACTGAGGAGAAGGTGGTGGGATGCGGAGAGCCAAAGAGAGGGGTGGAGAAAACCTTGGGGTAAGAGGTTGAAGATGGATCCAAGGTTAGGCAAGGTGGAGGGGGAGGATGGTGGCAGGGGAAAAACCGTGGGGTGAGAGAGAGGAGGGTGGGTGGCAGCGAAAAAACCATGGGGTGAGAGGTTGAAGATGTATCCAGGGTTAGGCAAGGTGGAGGGGGAGGAGAATAGCTGATAGTGAGGTTTGGGCAAAAAGAAGTGTGAAGTCGCATGCCAAATGAGGGGTAGAGGGGAAAAGGAGGGGGAGGGGAGTTGAAGAAGAGAAAGGAGGCTCGACTCCTCGTTGTCGAACGGTGAGGCCACAAGAGCAGGCTAGCCAGTAGTGGAGGGTAGAAGGGAGGTTGTAGTGGGTTGAGGCAGCGTTGGGTGAGAATGGTGAAGCAAAAGAGGAAGAGCCTACACAAAAGGCTGATTTGGGGAAGGGCCTATCTAGGGATGGTTCGTGGGGTGCCAACTGACAGGCGTAGAGAAGTTCAACACGGGATGGGTGATGGGGGAGATGGTAGGAAGAGGGGGGGGTGGGCGCTAGTCAACTGACACAGTGGCACCTGTCTACGACACGTGGAATTAAGGTCGATGGCCTGCTCACCACATCACTTTGCCACCTCATGTGTGCTACGTGTCGCCCCTTGGTGGACTGCATGGGACTGCGGCCCGTGGGCATCAGACGGTAGGGATGAGTCACCCGAGGAGTGGCCTAGCAAAATGCTGCATTGCAGTGGTGGGTGAACTGGGACGTTGACATGTGCTTGTGAAGGAGGCATCATCTGGGCTGTCTGTTTGGGGTCGTGAGAAATCTGGGCTTGGGGTTCTCTACTGACCCTCCGATGTTGCAGACGACAGCGGCGATGGGTTTTTAGTGGGCGCTTTCGAGAACTATGGTCCAGCCATCATGGAGCAGGGTCGGTGGAGTATTGTGCTCCATAGAATGTAGTCCAGGAGCAGAGGGTTCATGGTCCACAACATGGCAGGGGAAGTGTGGGGATGCCAAAGACCAAGAGACGGAGATACAGAAGAATAATCCTTCTTCCTCTTGCCAAAGAAAGGGGGGAACATGAGAAGGGATTATTGTTTTAACCAGGAGCTGGATTGAGCCAAGGGGTAGAGAGGTAGCTGATTTCCAGTGTACAGAAATGAAGACTCTGCAGACCTCACCGATCTTCTTGAAGGTATCGACATTTCGGGCTTGGAAGGGAGTGTGGGAAACTGAAAGTCAGATCTTCTGGGGTTTTATTGCGCGCAACTCTTTGTTCCACCTGCAAAGAATTAGGCCTGGCCCATGGAAGCGACCGTTATGATTCCCTATCGCCTTAAGAAGGAGATACTCCAAAGGGAAGGAGAAAAGGATGACTCCCCGAGGAGACTTTCCAGCAAGAAAATTCGGAAATGTCCTAATTTTTGGCTGCCCACCACTGGATATCTTTGACATCGTTACGCTGTGGGTATAAGCAACCTACTAGCAAGAACTGCAAAGCCTTTACGAGGTCAGCAGCAAGTTTTTCTCCCACTGGTATTGAAAAGGGTGCTGAGAGAGGAGGAGAAGGGAAGAGGAGGGAGTGTAGTGTGAAGCGTGGGGGATGGGTTGGTGGAAGCTGGTTGAGAAAGATTCCGGGGAGGCCTTCGATGGTTGCAGGGGGCGAGCGTAGTTTTCATAAAGAGGAGGGAAGGAAGCGATGGTATTCAAGGGAGGATGGGAGCCAGAGGGAGGGAGGGGGCAAGGAGGAGGAAAGGGATTAGATGGGTGGGAAAGGGGAATGGGAGGAGGAGAGAGCACTCCTACAAACAAAGCCATTCACACACAATCAAAGAATATGTAAAATCAAATTGGGTAAACTAAGCTTGATATCTCCTTTCCTTTTGTACAATTTCTTGCTTTACCATTTTCATGCCTTCACTTTTGATATAAAATGTGAAGGTTATAAACATGTAGCCCATCCTCCCTAGATGCATTGCTAAAGCTAGATTGAGGAATATGGGGTTCCTGCGACTCCTTTATTCTGACAGGTTTTCTATAAGCAATTTTTATGCTTTAACTTCTCCTGTCAGTTCCTCACTCTCAACATGTTTTTCAAAAGAAAAGTTTACCTTCGGTTACTTGTAACTTTATTCTCAACAATCCCATCATCTCTTCTCTCTATTTCTCTTGTTGTATACATCTATGAGTAGGTACTTATCAGGATACAACTTAATGTATACTACTCATTATGATTAATTATGAGAATGTAATGCTTTGGAATGTAACAATCAGCAGAGGAATCATTCTTCCGCTCTTACACTGTTGAATGTTAGTAAAATGCTGCTCATTCATTATTTTCGTGCAATTGATAGAAAGTTGTTGTATGAAAAGAGTGACAAGTCTCACCCTTTTAGTTCATTCTATGAGTCCTATTCGTACTTTTCTAATAAATTTCATTTTCTTACGTGAATTAGGGAGAATGAAGCATCCCTCGCTGTTCTACATGACCTTCTAATGGAACTGGATAGCATGGATGAGGTATGTCTGGCAAAACCCAATTCATGGTCCATTTCCAGTGAATTTTGTCGTGGTCAGTGGTTTATACACGTAAAGTGTAAGCTATGGTATGCTTCTAGTGTGATAGCCATGTTAATATTCCATTCCAGTCCAAAGAATGCCAATGCTTTTTAACCATTAGTTCATATGTTATATAATTTCCTGCCATTTAACTTATGCTTTTGTCAATGTTATGTTGTAACTTCCTGAGATTTACTTGTTGCATTTTGCATTGAATTAGTTTGAAATTTTTAAATGATGTAGAAGATGTAAATCTCTTATCATGCTTGGTTTAGTTCCAATTTGTCCTCTTGGCCAAGGATTGACAAACATCTGGTGAATACCCTTGATAGTTATCTGCTAACAAGAAGTTGTTGGTATATTTGTTCTATCATTTCACTCTGGAAGGTTCACTTAGTTATAACCTTTTTGACTATGGTACTATTCTTAAGACACCTAGTGTTTATATTGCTGCATTGAGGGGACCTCATGGCATCATTAGGACAGGATATTTCATTACAGTATTCAACTTTGTACTGCCTCTGGTTTTACTCTTTTTTAATGCATCCTCTGCACCATTGGGTTTCTGATTTTATGTACATGCATGGATTTCTACCATTCATGGATAGTATTACCATGTAACATGCATTCTAGTAGCTACAAAGCTAGCATTGACAGTAATAGTTTCTTTTATAGCTGAGCTATAATCCGATAACTGATTCTGTTATTATGGGTGCTTTATTTTAGAATGTCTTCTCATGTATTATAGCTCCTTTTCTGTCACCTTAACCTGTAGGAGACGAGGTTGCTGGCACTTATTGAAGGGGTTCTTGCTGCCAATATCTTTGATTGGGGATCTCGTGCTTGTGTGGATCTTTATCACAAGGGAACTATAATTGACATTTATCGAATGAGTCGCAAAAAAATGCAAAGACCTTGGCGGGTACATTTTTTCTCCAAAAGAAAATTCATAGAAAATAACTATTGAGTGGGTTATTCTGGGATATCTAATTGAAGCCTTCTGTTTCGGCACTATTGAAATGGTTTGTGATTGGGATATCCTTCTGAAAGTCTGTTTTCTTGGTGTCACCTTTAAGCCAGCTTTGACTTTGTAATATGCTTTCAGGTTGATGATTTTGATACATTTAGAGAAAGAATGCTTGGATCTGGAGATCAGAAACCTTTGCCACATAGAAGAGCCCTACTCTTTGTCGACAACTCAGGTGCTGATGTAGTTCTTGGGATGCTTCCTCTTGCACGAGAACTCCTTCGTCGAGGCACTGAGGTGACTTCATATGTCAAGCGAAAATTTGACTATCTGTAATGATTTCAATCAGTTTTCAATTAAAAGTTGGTTACGATTTTCACCGTACATACTAGATTGTTTGGCCTAGAATCACACATTTGTGGCAAATATGCTTTTATTTTGTGCAGGTTGTTCTTGTGGCAAATTCTCTACCTGCCCTAAATGATGTTACTGCAAATGAGCTTCCTGATATTGTGGCAGAGGCAGCAAAGGTTTGCAATGGATTCTCTCTCACTCTCTTATTCATATGGTCAATTCTCACCTAGCTCATAGTGTAAAGGGGATGGATGGGATTATGTAAGCCATTTCCAACTGTGCCTACCTTGTAATAAATTGAAAGAGGCAGTGTGACCATTTGGAGAAACTGGAATTTCTGAAATAACTAGGGGTAGTTTAGATGCTTCCAATGTTATTAATCAATTTGATACACTTCCTTAGATGTTTTAGCCATGGTGTAGCACACACGTTTTATGTTTATAAAATGGAAAAGAACTTGAGTATTGCTAACCATTTTCTTTTTCTATGTTCATGAATTCTCAAAAAAATGACAGCACTGTGACATACTTCGCAAGGCTGCTGAGGCAGGAGGGCTTCTTGTGGATGCTATGGTTGATTGTAGGGATGTATCAGATGATAAGTTCTGTTCAATTCCACCGCTAATGGTCGTTGAGAATGGTTGTGGAAGTCCATGCATCGATTTCCGGCAGGTCAGCTCAGAGCTTGCGACTGCTGCAAAAGATGCAGACCTGGTATGTTATGTGCAAACCTGAAACAGGCCTCATTTGATAAAAAAATTTCTACAAATTTTCCCCACAATGCCACTCTATTTGACCCCAAAATGGCCTTGAAAATATTAGGTGTTCAAAAAGAAAAAAGGGAAAAGAAAATAAAAAAAAAGGGTTATGAGCACATCTTATCCTAGATCTAACAGTGGCGAAAGCAAAAAGTCGACTTTCACCCAATTTTCTCTTTCCCTAGAAAATATGTTTTACGAATTATTTTTTCAATTTTTTTTCTAGGGTGTGATCGCTAGGGTCAAGAGAATGTGTGTGCATGATATTGTGTTGAACAAATACCCTAAGATCATTTTCCTTTGGGGGAGTGGGGTGGGTGCATTTCATAGTTACCGCAATACACCTAAGGGGTTGATTCCTCTCTACCATCCCGAATTCCCAATCTTGTGTTCCAGGGAAGGGGACTTCTCTGTGATTCTTAAATTTTGAAATCTCGATCCTTCCTATTGGGGATCAAGTTCCGGAGTTACATGCTATCCAGATTCCCTAGCATTATTGTTTAGTACAACATTATATTATAGTATAGCAATGTGGTATAGTTAATATAGCATTGTAATATAACATAGTAGTATATGGTGGCATATAGTAGGACATTGTACGTAACATGGTATGGTATTATTATATAGCAACATAGTATTGCAATATAGTATTGTATAACAGTGTGGTATAGTGTAATATTAGTAGTACACAATATAGTATATACTGGGCTTTGATTTTTAACCATGTGGAGAATAGGTCCTGTATAATTTGTCATTTGATCCTGTTTAAGTTTCGATCTAGCTCCGCCACATATTGGGATTGAGATCCCTAGATTTCAAGGTGTATGGGTCACGATACCTGCCATAGGGAACTTTCTGCTTGCCACAATCCCTTGGTCCCAGTCCCGGATCTAATTGGATCCCGAACTCGATAACTCTGGTGCATTTCTAAAGTGTTAGCCTAGTGGCTAATGTAAGCTTTTTCATTGCTCACTATTGGGTTTGCTTTTCTTTAGAATAGAGATTGGTAGCTGAATTCTTGATCTCGCAGTTTTCCTTTCCCTTGCCCTTACTGCCCCTTCTCACTTCTGGTTAGCCTAGAATCCCCACGCCTTCTGACATCCCCAACATTTCTATGGAAGGCATCAAATGTGATATCAAGAGAGGCATCGCACGACACACTCATGACCTCAAACATCCCTCATGTCTCTCCTCGAGCCTCCTTGATTTGTACTTCCTTCACTTAATAAAGGACTTCTGATCATCTGACAGTTCGTGAAAGCCTCCAAATTATAGATTTGCACCTTTCTTTTGCCTCCCTTGTCACATTATGGTCCAATGATGCCTCCTTATCTAGCCAAGGGATTGCCGTGATGGGGATAACATCTATATTCCCAACTAATCCATTCAACAACACTTCATCCTCCGACAAGAGGCTATTCCATCGCATTTTCTCTTTCTCAAGAACCACTGAACACTCACTAGCTTCCCAAACTGATCTCTCCTCATATTCTACTGTCATTGGTCCCATTGGATGCAATATCTCCACTATCACTATAAAATTTGATGCGATCTAAAGAAATGGTCCACCCATTTGTATCATTTTGGGGGCTTCTGTTTGCCCACAAAATTTTGTGCGCAAGTTCTCTTGAGTTCGACGAATAATCTGAATAAAAGGAAGAAAAAAGGAGAAGACCCTTAAAATTGGTTTTTTAACATGGTGAGTGGTGACCATACGCTGCCCATTCATGGCTGGCTAAATCTAGGCCTTTAAGGCTTAATATCATTTGTTTTCTTTTAAATTGATTTGGTGATTACAAGGCATCTACAAAATTTTGGCTTAAACAATCCTTGAAGGCCTAGGTCTAATCATATATCAAATAAATGGCCTATGTTCACAGAATTTATCGCTCCATAGAGGAACCATTTTTTTTTTTCTGACTTTTTTATGAGCATAGTGAACTTTCTCAAAAAACAAAACAAAAAAAAAACGAACTTTTTTATGAGCTTATTTGCTAGGATGGTGGTACCATAGTTGCTGTGATCTCCCAATTCGGTGGTGATCTTGGCGATCCCATGCTTGTGGAGTTGCACCTTGTGTGGATCTCCCGATATTGGGGAACACGATCCCATTCCCTTTGGGATCGGTTGATATAAACTACGCTTATGTTAGATATGATCTTTTATTAGGAAACAAGTCTTAAATGCATATCTATCAAAATAAATAAATTGCAAAACAATGTTCTATATATTTTTCAGAGAGAAGAGATGCGAGATGCATCTCGAACCTTTAAAATTTATCATGCGAACGAAAAAGTTGGGATGGAGATCTCTAAAATTCAGTGTGAAAGCTATCCTTATAGTAGGAGCGTCTAGCTTTTCACGATCCCATGCTCCAGATCCCAACAACTTTGGGTGGTACAGAAAATTTGGGGGCAAGCAAATGCCCTTCAGGCAATTAAAAATGGGAAAGCAGACACTGTAGTGGTCCCCTCTAGAATGGACCAAATTGATAACCTCTAAGATGAAAAAGTAAGAGGTATGAAAATCTCACCTCTTAAAGAGCCGCCAAGTTTGAGATTTTAAGAGGTATGAAAATCTCACCTCTTAAAAAGTCGCCAATTTTGAGATTTTAAGAGGTATGAAAATCTCACCTCTTAAAAAGTCGCCAATTTTGAGATTCTACAAATTAGTCCTGGTTCCAATTAACTGATGAATGTGTGGTGTAGTTGGAAATATGCAACTAACACCTGTGTGAATTTGTAAATTCATATAAAGTTTGTTTCCTTCTCTCCAATTGAGCCTGCATCTCTCTCTCCCTGACACACACACACATTCTCATACACATTGCTCCAAATGGCAAGCTCATGTCAGTTTGCATGGATAAGTATCTTAAACATTGTTAGGAATGGGGTTGTTGATTTAATATCATTAAAGTTGAAAATAATTCAGTTATTCTTAATGTGCTGGTCATTCTGTAGTGTAATTAAAATCCAGTGCTAAAATTTTGGACCAACCACATAATCTTAAAAGCAGGAGTAAATCCTAGTTATGGCTGATAATTATGTGCTCGTCATTCACAATAAAGGGTGCAAAAGGGAAAAGAAAAACACAAGATTTAGGAGTTTTGAAAAAAAGAGATTTAGAGTTTTGAAACATCTGACCTCGCTATTTTCTTTTTATGGTGCAGATAATCTTAGAAGGAATGGGCCGTGCTCTACATACGAACTTTAATGCACATTTCAAATTTGATGCCTTAAAAGTAAGAAACCCCCATAACACCCTTCAAGGCTTACAGATCGACTCTTCTATTATTTACAATCATTTCTTTATCTTTCCAGCTTGCAATGGTGAAGAACCAGAGGTTGGCTGAAAAGCTAATCAATGGGAACATATATGACAGTGTATGTCGATATGAAGCAGCTGGGTCAAAACGCAGCTAATTACTGCAGTTATTCATTTTACTTGTGTCTGGGTAAGTTCGGATTCCCATGGAAATTTTCTTTTTACATGTGCTACCTCGTTGTCCTTGAGAAAAATTTTGGGGTTTTTTTTTATTGTATTCAGAGGTGTTGGTGTAACCTGATATGATTGTCTTGGTGTTCCTCTTCTTCGTTTTGGTTCATTGCTTTTACTCAAAATACTGCAGTGACAATAAGAAGCTGGCAGATTTGGTGCAAGCCATCCAATTTCTTAGGTAACATTGATATTAGGAGACTTCCTTGAATAAAGGGGAACTGGAAAACATCTGAGCCAGGAAAATTTGAATTTAAATTCATCAATGTATTATTAGAAGAACCCATTAGCCTTGGTGGTTCTTGTTGCTTTACCCTTTTTATATGGTGCGAACTGCACAGTAATCTTCCATTAATGTTGGGAAGATAGATATTTATGTAACATGAATGAGGAAGAAATGAAAACAAATAAGAACAGATTTTAATTTTATGTATTCCTGGTCTTACTTTTGTGGGATCCATTCCAATGTTAAATATTGTCCACAATAGTGAAGGAACGCATTATCGATGATTCTAAGAATTTCATTCATTTAACATGAATTAACTAAGAATTTCATTCATTAACATTAATGAACTCAGGTCCATGGTGATGTTAGAAAATGTATTTCTATATATTTGGGTTTTAAGCCTTATGGAAGATTATTCCAAAATACTACGGAGAACTCTATTTTTATTGATTAATCAAGAATATACAAGACTCTGTATAGATATACAGTTAGTAACAGTTAAAAGATAAATATCAATAGTTATGGATAGACACTACCGAATTTTATCAAGAAATATATATCCATACAGATGCATATCCATATTGATATATATATCAGTATGGATATGCATATTGACATATATCTTATCAGCCTCGATCTCGCCTTCCAAGTCGAGATGACTTGGTGGTAGGGTTATGGGTTTGCGACAAGATCAGGACCGGAGATCGCTTTTTTGGGAATCATGTAAAGAAGACACGGGCAGGGTGTTGGTGAGAGAGAAAGTGAGAGAAACTAAGGGTCGTGAGGTAGGATTTACTTCATGTGGGTTGGTGATGTGCTCGGGCTGCTCGCATGGGTGCTTTTTTAAATCACGAAGAATGCCTTTTGGCCTAAGGTTGGTTTGGACTCAACTCTTTTTACTCGTTTTTCTGCATTCTTGTACACATACTTAAGATATCCAAACAAGTAGGTCTGAAGACCTAGACTTGTTGAAGATGAAATAAAATAAAATGAAATGAAGGGATATGAAAAATGAAATGGAAAGGGATGAATTAAAGTGAAATTAAGCGAAAGGGATAAAATGGGAGAAAATATGAATAAAATAAAATCAAGTAAAATGAAATAAAACGTAATGAAGTAAAAATAAAATATAAGAGGTAAATGAGATAAAATAAAAGCAAGGGAGTAAAATAGAACAAAATGAAAGAAGGGGAGTAGAAGAAATAAAAAGATGATAAGATGGTGTAGAAAGCAAAAAGAAGAATGGGGAGATTTAGTTAAGAGAGAGTTTTTGTTGGGTTTTATGCAGCGTTTTAAAAAACGCCGAGTCGAACCGGACTCGCTCGGTTCGACTCGGAATTCGCGAAAAGGGACCGGATCGGTTGAAAAATCGGAAATCGTCCGGTTCTAGAGAGAACCGGATGATTCCGCACAGTGACTCGCCGATTCACTGTACGGAATCGGCGAGTCCGATCGGTGACCCGGATAGGGTTTCCAAAAAACCGATCCGGATCGGCGAATCGGCGATCCGGATCGGGAATCGGGTGAATCGGTCATAAAAAGCTT